TCAAGCATTCAGCTGGCTTTCTTTTGTCACTAGTCTCCAGTCCAAACGGGACAAAAATAGCTGTTCAAAGCAAACTTCGTCAATGAATGAAGACAAAATTGTTCATACAGGCTCAATGAAAAAGCTTGTAGTTGAAACAACAATTTATGAAAAGTGACCAAAAGTGTAACTGCAATGTAAGTAATGCCTGTTTGTGCCTCGATCGCTCAGCGATCAGTTCTCATTCAGCCTTGCGATCTTCGACTGATCACCACAGAAAACGTTGATGTTAAATGTGCAGCCTTCGAACTTGTCAATATTGCGCTCCGGCAAAAATTGCCTGAGGCTGGACTTTTGTTGGACTGTGAAGACATTTTGCTGTGTTGTAGTGGGAGGTAGTGACTTGGTTTTTTTCGGACTGAGCGGATGTACCTGGCTCACAATTCAGGATAGCAGACATTTCTCGCTGTCACTTCAGAGATGCTGTATTGTAGCTGTCGAGGCTTTTAAAATTTTTGTGACCACTTAGTTGTGCAACGACGTTTGACTGAACGTCTGCTTCGAGAAGTCGTCCAGCACTGGTCTTTCTAACAGAGTGATTAGAAAACTTCTTCTTGTTTGTGTCATTGAGTTTGGCTGCAGCAAACGCGTCTTTGTAGCGGGCTCGTTCTCAGTGCCATTTTGTTTACGAACGGAGATGAAAAATTTGGACAGAAGAAGGTCGAGTTCATTGGCAGGTATGTTTTCAATAATATTGCTCTAGACTCTTTCAGTGACTCGCAAAATTTCTTCCATGCGTTTAAATCGCTTTTAGTCTTGTATTGAGTGTTTTTGTTTTTTTTTTCTGCTCATGCAAAAATATCTCAATTTCGACTTCATCTTTGCTCGTAGCTTCCTTGGCGGGACTCAAATTTGCCAACGTTTGCTCATTTTCTTTACCTGCTTCCTCATGAAGGTCCACTCATTCTTCCATTTAGTATTATTAACAGGAACAAGCCAATTTTTTGCAACTGTTACAAGAACATCGGTCTAGATGCCGGTCTAGATGGGAAAATCTAGACCGCAGTCAAGATCGATTTTAGCCAATCAAATTCTTGAATTTGTTTGTTTCCAGTCCTTTTGAGACATGGCCATATAATAAAATAAAATATTACAGCTCCCTAGTATTTACATAACTCAAGCAGTATTATAACAAGACATGTGAACTCCATTACTGATAAAGTAACAAAAAAATCTGAACAGCTTAGAAATAAAATTAATGTAATGGCATCTGTAGTTCTGTATTATGGGATGTTTTTCCATTTATAGTAGGTAAATATTCAATTGCACCATTATCTTAAGTAGTCACAAGGCTTACTTCATCAGCTTTCAATTGTCAATAAATGGTGACAAAAAACATGATAATTCTAGACTTGTGAAGTGTCTGTCAGCTTTTAGACATAACATTACTGAGCATCCTTGAATAAAAGCCAGATCTACTGTTAAGTATAATGAGGGTCCTGAAGGGGGGATATCAGTTCCATTGAAACTGTTTAACCCTCAATTCCCATTTTTTACATTTTTTCCCATTCTCAGTGATAGAATCCCCCTGCCAGTGACTTAAATCCCATTTTCCCAGAGCAACAACATCCCATTTTACCCCTTCAGAACTCCCCACAATGAATTCAGTGTAGCACCCTTACTAGTAAACAAATCAGCATACTTACCAATGAACAGCGGTATGTACCTGCAACAGGATTCTTCTGGTAAAACTCCTTAGAGAACATTGCCCTGAATTTCTTGTCCCCAATTAATGATTCCAGGCTTCCGTACAACAAAGAAAACACTCCCAATCCATTCAATATTTCTGGATCTTTCGTTTTGCTTTCCCCTAAGTAAGCAGCCTGAATTCCTAGTGACCTCGAGTACTTTACCTGTCCCTCAACAACTGACATGAGAGGTGAAGTCACTGTGACCAGTGGATTACTAGGGAATTCACAACCTTTAGCATCAAACGATTTTTAAACCCCCTAGCTTATAGGCAACATTTGGAAGGTTAGACTCCTCTATCAATTGCCCAAAAACATCTCTTATTTCCACAATCTTCTCAATAATAAATCTTTGCTTCGCTTTGAACTGTACCACAGGAAACAAAGACAAGCCTTCTCCAAGCGCTTGCTGGAGGTCTCCCTCGAATCTTAAGTTAACACTACTATCAACTTCGGCAGAATTCGTATGGTTAAAGCTTAAAAGTTTCGAAAGGAGTTTGGAGCGGAAGCAAGAAGAAGGCACTGAAACTAGCCGGCATTTCCCAGGATCAATCGACGTAGTTGCGTGGCCCGTGCAACGGAAATTTTCACGCTGCAGAAAGTTTCAGAAGGCGTGCAACGAACATGGACATCTAAAATGTAAGCTTGGCGTTGTATACTAGACAGTGTGAGCAAATTAATTAAGGAGTGGAAAGTGAAAGTCATGCATCGCGTATCGTATCAGCGATAAAAATTTACGATACCTTGGAAAGATCCGCCCTAAAAATTCATCGGAGAGTGTTTGTTTCTTGTAGCCGTGCTTAAGGTTGTAATTTTTGCGGGTTGTTAACATTTTGTTCTGAAACTTTCCTCGAGAAACTTTCCCCGTTGAACGCGCTACGCAACTATGGCGATCGATGAGGAAAACTACGTCGTGTAAGAAAACACGAGAGTCACCCGGCAGCTTTTCTTCGCTGATTGGCCAGAAAAAATTTTTTCTGGCCAATCAGAAGCAGGCAATTCAAACGCTTCTGGAACTGGTTCGGTAAGAGTAAGTGCCCAGTAAACTTTCACCACGAACATTTTATCGACCCGACTAACTGCCCCTGGGTCTCCGAGGATGACAAAACTATGGAGTGCGGGCGACAACGATCGAAGGTCAAAACGCTTTTGCTCCATCACTGCACTTTGCGTAAGTTTTACGTGACAGATAGTCAAAACACGCGTGATCAGATTACGAGTAATAGAAGGTCTACACGTGCGTTCTGTGTATTCCATTCATTCTTAGTGGAAGTACAAATAAATGCTGTCTAAGTCTACATACATGCGACGCATGCGTAATAACAACCGGGAGATTAGGTTTGCGGGCTCCTCTTGTCGCCCGCAACTAAGATTAATACAACTAAAGATGCCAACAAGGCGGTACACTATATAATGATTCATATCTGTTGAGACGCATAACTAAGCTCAAAAGTGACAAAAATAAATAATTTTTTTATGTCCTTCAGTCCAAACACAGCCAGGGGGAACAGTGAAAAAATCTTAATGGGTAAAAACTTCCGTCTTTTGCCATCCGCATTGCAGCGTACCTGGAAAACACCGTGGGCCGGGTTAGGATGACATTACAAATGAATGAGTATTTGCCGCGGCTTACCACTTCGATAATTTGATGCAAAGAGACTCCAAGCGTAACAGTGACCTTGTCGCTTTGGTTCATAACGGGTCTCAATTCAGGATCATATCCAGAACCAAACAGCTTCTTTCGTAGCCTCCCTTCAATGCCATCAGACTGGGTTATATCTGACGTTCTGTTCTCTGAAACAAATACGGTTGCCGGGTTATACTGATTCACGTTTTCTTCATGTCTGACATGCGAAGGAAATGATGAACTGTACGCAGCGTACCATTTCAGTCAAAACAAAATCAAATTGTTTTATTCAGATCTGTCTACGTTTTTGCCTGATTTACGGTTTAGTTCATTACAATACATCCAAACTGATCTTGCAATGATATCACCTACACTTTATAAAGCATGTGAGATGAGATAAAGTTGCAGTTTTATCAGGCACCCAAGTTCCAAGTGCTCGTTCATTGACCCCAGAAAAACATGCTCGGTAATGAAGAAAGAAAAGCTAAAGGACTAAACCAACTGATTAAGGCGCAGCTGCCTCTGCCTCCCACTGCGCATGCTTTTGATTGCGGAAGTAAGTGCATCATGTCACAGTAGCAGCAGTCTACCATAGTTACTATATTAACGATTGACGATTGATAGGGATGGTGGGGCTGAATGTAATGATGTGCCTTTACACTTACATAAAAAATAACTGTTCAGCATTAACACAATGCCACTGGTTTTTAAAGGGGTAAAAGTATTGTTGAAAATCACGGAACAACTATTTTGGTCGTGCAAGAAAGAAAATTGGTAACAGAGCACCGGAAAGGAAACAGGGGTCTGAAATGTTGACCATGCTCGCAGGCGTGAGTCAGAATGAGTGTAGGGGTGGGATAGAAACAGGCACAAATGAGATGCTCAGAGATACCTATTCGCAACTCTAGGTTCGCTAATTTCAAATACAATGTATCTTACTTCAGTCAACTGTTTTAATACGCTTTTTCAAAGCGCATTAACTTGCCTGCCAGGGTCAAACATGTAGCTCGGCTGGTCACCGGCTTTATCTTTGCGGTGGTTGTGTTTTGCGGATTACATACATATACATACACTTTATTGATGCTCCCTAAGTGGGCTTTTCAGCTCAATAGAATAAAAAAAATACAAATATATAAATTAATTGAGAATGTAAATACAATAATATTATAATTACAAAATATATATCAATAATATAATATATCAACTTAATAAAACATTTGCAAGATGACGTCTAAAATTCCTGGGGCATTTTAAGGACTTAATGTTATCATTCAAGGAGTTCCAGAGTTTGGCTCCTCTGAAAGCAAAGGAGCGCTGCCCTGTTGACAGGCGACATAAAGGTATATCCAAAGCACCAGATGATCGAGTTTGTCTATTATGGACTTGAGAACGTGATTTAAACATATCAGCAAGATAGTCTGGAACAAGCTTGTTAATACATTTGTGCATCATAGTAGCGTCATTTAGAATGAGTTTCTCTCTAA